TGGCGCGTCCTGCCGCGGGGCTGGGCCGTATGTTTGACACCCCTGCTTTACATAATCATCTCGCGGGCCGGATTAAACTCCTTTGCGGGCCGGATCCGCCCCGCGGGCCGTATGTTTGACACCACTGTTTTAGACACTTGTATATGTCTGAGTGCCTCAGCAATCTAAGTGTACCGGGTTAGTGTATATGCTGTGTCCATGCAGAACTTGTGTTTACATTTATTTGGTTTGTCTTTGTCCACAGACATCAGTAGATGTAAAGAGGACCCGCCAATGCAGCCAGAGCTAAAACAGTTTCCCAGGACCCTGATGGGGGACAGGAGAAGGAGCTTCAAGGCAGGCTGGTACCATATCCACCCCTGGCTTGAATATTCTCAACAGATGGACTCGGCGTATTGTTACGCTTGCAGATATTTTAGCCCTCCTAATACTGTTTTTTTCTCATCACTGTAATGTTATGACTACAATGCTTTGAAAGTTTGATGAAATAAAAAGTCAAATAATATTTCGAATCTGTCTTTTTAGCCCTGGGTTGAATGTGCCCCTCCATCAAAACCCCCGGCCCCAGCCCGGCCCCCTCAGTGAAACTGATCTAGAACCGCCACTGTGTCTACAGTTGCATGATATAAAAAGCGGAATTCTGACCTCTTGCCTCATTGACATTCTTTATTTGAAACCCAAGTGTCTTAAGTATACAACAAAAATAGAGCAATTGACCTTGCCGCTCCAATACTTTTAAAGGCGTTTGAACAATTATCCCATCCTGGAAAAAGAAGGGACCAACAGGAATATGACATTTATGCCCATGTTGAGTTAAATGTTTGACCACAAGTGCAATAATTTAAGTATCAATCACTCCTACAGATGGAGTACAGGACACATGATGTTTCAGTCACATATGGATTTTTTTGGCTTAATGTTTTCACATTGTCATCAAAACCACTGGCTCATTTTGCTCAAGATTAAATATACATTTTTACATCTGACCACAAAGAATCATTTTTTTCACAGTTTATTTAAAGCTTCATTGATCGCTGCTATTCTCAACAGTACACTTGTGTGTCTTAACATACTTACTAGAAGAAAAACTTTCAGCACGTACACTGCAAAGAAATGGTTTCTCCCCAGTGTGTTTTCTTACATGTGTGCCTAAGTTTCCCCTTTGAGCGAATTTTTGACCACAAAATGAACAGGCAAAAGGTTTCTCCCCAGTGTGTGTTCTTGTGTGCCTTGTTAAACTTTCCTTTAGAGAGAAACCCTTACCGCAAACTGAGCAGACAAAACAATTCTCCTCAGTGTGTGTTTTTGTATGTGTTCTTAAGTTTCCCCTTTGAGAAAATCGTTTACCACAAACTGAACAGGCAAACGGTTTTTCTCCAGTGTGTGTTCTTGTGTGCCGTGTTAAACTTTCCTTTAAAGAGAAGCTTTTACCACAAAATAAACAGGCAAAGGAATTCTCCTCAGTGTGTGTTCTTGAGTGTGTTCTTAAGTTACCCCGAAGAGAGAATCTTTGGCCACAAACTGAACAGGCAAACGGTTTCTCTCCAGTGTGGGTTCTTGTGTGCCGTATTAAACTTTCCTTTAAAGAGAAACCCTTACCGCAAACTGAGCAGGCAAAAGAATTCTCCCCAGTGTGTGTTCTCATGTGTGTTCCTAAATTGCCCCTTTGAGAGAATCTTTGACCACAAACTGAGCATGCAAAAGGTTTTTCTCCAGTGTGTGTTCTTGTGTGCCTGATTAAACTTTCTTTTAAAAGGAATCCCTTACCACAAACTGAACATACAAAAGAACGCTCCCCATTGTGTGTTTTTGTGTGTTGAATTAATCCTGAGCGAGCACTGAAAGCTAAGTTGCAGACTGAGCAGGCAAAAGGCTTCTCCCCGGTGTGCGTTCTCATGTGTGTTTCCAACGAGGACTTATTGGAAAACCTTTTATCACATTGAGAACATTCCCAGGGCTTGCTGTCAGTGTGACATTTCATATCGTCTTCACACTGTTCATCACCATCAGCATCAGGAGTGTTTGACAATATGTCGTCACTGTCTGATAGTGGTGCGAAGAGGCTGTGTGCTTCTGTTTCTCCAAAGTGGTATCCTTCACTTTCTGTTGTCCGGTATTGACTTGAGCAACTGCTTGAAGGATTAAACTCTCTGCTTCCCTCACTTTGACCTTCATCTTCATCTTCTTCGCTCTTTGAAGGTGCAAAAATGAATGGCAACTTCGTGAAGGTCTCCACCTCTACCTCCACCACTTCATCTTTAATGTACAGAGGCTCTGGCTCCTCGTCCTCTTTAACTTGGAGAGGCTCTATCTTCTCTTCTTCCTTATTGTAAAGGGATTCAGGGCACTGTTGTTCAGGACGATGATATTTTTCACTGATGACTGCAGAACACAAGAAGACAAAGACACATGGTGTAGTTATGTCAAATCTTTTTTAAATCTATCATATATCCCCTTTTAAAAATTTAAATATGTATTATCCTGGCAGCCGGAGAGCATGTGCACTAAAAGTACATTTAAAACTCAAACTAAGCTTTCAAATATCTTTACAATCAAGTATTCGACTAATTAATCCATCAATTAATCGACTAATATTATTAAATAATAAGAATAAGAATAAGAAAACCTTTATTTGTCTCACAATGGAGAAATTCCCAATTTACAGCAGCAAAGTTATGAAAGAAGAAAGTAGAAGAACAAAAATATTTCACATTTTTAAATAATGCCAAATTTTGCATAACAAAAGACAGACATGTTAAATAAACCACAAATTGGCTTTATTATATGTTGTCTCGAAAACTAAACTACTTATTGCAACATGTGTGCATTTACGTGTCAATAGATGTTGTGCAAAAAAATTAAAACAAAATAATAATATCAAATTACTTTGGAACATGTATAACTTGTAAAAGTATGGAGAACAACTTCAGTTGTTAACGCTGGTTTCACTTTCACTGAGGAATAGAGTACACATATCTGTTTCAATTGTAAAACGTCTTCAGAAATGAAGAAATGATTCTAAACATCCAAGCAAAGCACGGGTACCTGACAATCTACTTAAGCGTTTTAGTACCACCGCAAATCTTGTTTTTGCTTTGTTTGTTTTTTTAATTGATCCAACAAAATTGACCGGCCTCGGTGGTCCCTGGCGCAGCCAGGCGACGCTCACCCATAATTCAATTGACACGCTTGATTATTGCCATAGTGCCGTACGGATTTATGACTGGTATATGTGACTCAATTCCACCTGGGGTAACCTAATCAAAAAACAAGCGAGAATAATAAGTGAACAAACCTGCTCTGTGTAACACATTTTCAAGCTTGTCGCAAACGCCGTCCAGTAGTTGACGTTGTGGCTCAGGTTCTTCTTTTGCCCAACAAAGTTCCTCCACGGACTCTTCTTTTACAGCTTTTGCACACATTTTCTGACAGTAATCTAAACACTTTACACTCACACTTAATTTGTTCTTGGCGATGTGTTACTATGAAATGTTTCTCTTTGTTAGTGACTAGCAAACAAAGCTAAGTTAAGGTAGGCTACGACAAGAGTCTTACGCAACGTGCATCGAGACGAGTTTAGCCGAAAACAAACATTTAATTGAAGATGTTTTATTCCAGTAAAGCAGAACGATAAAATTCTACGTCGATGTTTAAGTAAATTTATTAATGATTCGGGACGATTAATTTCGTAAAACGCGAAGTGCTCGCAAAAATGTACACGGAAGTGAATCGGTAGCGAACGTCGTACGGTACACCACGAGGACAAACTTCTCGCCACGGACACTAATCAAACATCCATCACGTTACGTTAACAAAAAACACAACCCATCCATTTAGAGTACGCTTATTTGGAGCCTATCCCATCTGACTTCGGGCATTCTGCTTAAATTTGCGTTTGTTGGAATGAGTTAAGCAGAAAAATCTACCGGTTTTAGTCCATCTCGGGAAAACGCCCATTTTGCCACTTACTGTTGACTGAAAATGGCATCTCATTGCTCTGTCTAGAACACTGGTGTCAAACGTACGGCCCGCGGGCTGGATCCGGCCCGCAAAGGACTTTAATCCGGCCCGCGAGATGATTATGTAAAGCAGTGGTGTCAAACATACGGTCCGCGGGCCGTTCAATCAGGCCCCACAGGATAATTTAAAAGTGAAGAAAATGCATAAAAGACATAGAATAAATATTTTTAATAAGGTGCAATTCATTGCGTATCCGCTAGGGGACACTGTTTTGATCAGAGAAGAAGACAACAGCAGCCTCAGTCCATCACTGAGACAGACCCATGACAGCAGACGCTATCAATAGCACTCTCACATTTACACATTTAATAGCACACTCCTTAGTTTGTAAGGTGTAGGCAGGGATTACATTTAGATTTTATATGCACGTGTAAATGGTTTAAAACTTCCTTTCTTTATAAATCTCGTTTAATCTTAAAGTGCATTACTATATTTTTCAAAACCAATTGCTTGTTAAAGTTTGTACAATCAGTGGGATCAGTTGCAATGCATATATGTGAATGATAAAAGTAAATTGCACATTTGTCGAAGGAAATGTAAGGTGCTTCACGAAATGTTTTGTAAAAGATATGTTCATTTAATTTCAACATTTTCCTAATGTTCTTGTGCTTCTTTATACCAAAACAAAGGAAAGACATATTGTTTTGGTTATTTCTAGCAAAGTATGGTATCATTTTAATGGTCCGGCCCACTTGACATCTACCCAGGCCGTATGTGGCCCACCATGTGAAATGAGTTTGACACCCCTGGTCTAGAACCAAGACACTGAGCAATGAGTAACAACAAACCATGGCTCAACTTCAGAAAACGGGGGAGCATTTGCAAAAGAATTAAACACGGAAAAGATTTGGTCAACAAACTTCACCTTAACGAAGGCACATGTCACTTTAACAAAAGTAGGCTCCCAACGATCGATGGAACTATTTGAGCGTACCACATATCACTATAAGAGAAACCTTGACGCTCTCTCTTTTCTGTTGTGCATTTATCCGAACTATCAAGACGCGACTCACTACTGTGCACTCCTTGTACCTTTGACAAGATGCAGGTGACACACTGTGTGCTGTTGCGTTACTTCCGCCATAATTCAATAACGGTAATATATCACCACGTTAAATATATTAATCAGATTTTGAATATCGTCATCCCCTTAAAACAATGGTTAACTTTAAGTCATATCTTGATTTTTTTTGCCTTAACATCGCTTGATGTAGGCCCGCTCTGCTGCTAATATTGGCTACGCCCTTAGACATATCATTCAATTCCGCCCCTTATTAATTAGTATAACAATCAGTATGAGGTTCAGTTTTTCATGTTTGGTGAAAAACTGGGAAATTTTTTTTTAGTAAGGTGACGATATATTACAAACAAGAAACATCAGAGTGAAAAAAAGGCCTTTTGTCCTATTCTGAGACTGGCTGTTGTTGACCACTAATAATGTGTGTGTGTGTGTGTGTGTGGGGGGGGGGGGTTACAGTATCCAGGGGTGGCTTTGGCTGTAAGATTTGCTTCTAACACATACTAGCATGGTTAGCAGGTATTGTGTTTGGCAACGTGTCTATGCAGAAATACAATTGTGTAGCGCTATGTTTCGACACATTTTTGTGCTCCCTGAAGCAGCTTATTGATTTCATCAACACAATACACTATGGTTTTCAACACAAACAGGTGAAAAAAACATACACAGTGCTATTCTCACTTGCTGTCAAAAGGGTTTTGTGGCTCCCAGTGTGAGTTTTTCCCCCCATGGGGGACGTCTGAAATGGCTTTGAATAGATCACGAGTCATGTTAGTCTTCCCAACATGCTGCTCCAGAGAACGAGTTCAGATAGCCATCTTGCAGGGCTGGCTAGAAAGAGACAACAGCTCCAAATGCCAGGAGATGCACCCAAATTACAGCTGCCACCAATGCAGCGTCGAAAGTCACTCTTTGTCAGGCAATAAGTCACAAATTCATATTTATTTGAAGGATACGTAGAGACTCCCTTTATTCAGCTTTGGCCAAATGAATAGCTAACAGTCACCTTTTTACTGTGTCCTCCTTCAGCCACACTCTACGGGCATGAATCCTAAAAGCTGAATCCAACTGTTACTTGTGTACAAAGGCTGACGTACAGACTCATCTTAAAAAAAAGTACATACACTGAAATGTACATAAATACAAAAGAAAGAAGAAAGAAAAGAAGTTTTATTGTCAAGTATGTACAACACCCGTTTTGATAACTTGGCAGAACAACAACAAACATCTTACTACTGTGCTTCTCCGTGTGATTCAGTTGTACAGTGTGTGTACTGTAGAAAGAAAAAAGAAGAAAAAAAATCCCTAACACGCTATCAACACATTTGACAAATGAGCCATCTACAGTCCATAGCCCACTGTACAAACATCTCCATACAGTGATTAGGGAGTAGAAAATGAGTCAAGAATGCCCATCACAGCCCCAGTTTCTTCTGCAGCTTCATAGCTGCTGCTCTTCTCACCAGCACACTTGTGTTTCTTAAGTTGACGTGTTTCATTAAACCTTAACTCACAAACACTGCAACTGAATGGTTTCTCACCACCGTGTGTTCTAGTGTGTGTTGTCAAACTTGTCTTTTTAGAGAATCTTTTACCACAAACTAAACAGGCAAAAGGCTTTTCTCCGGTGTGGGTTCTTGTGTGCATGTTCAGTTTTTCCTTACGTGTGAATGTTTTACTGCAGACTGAGCAGGCAAAAGGTTTTTCTCCTGTATGTGTTCTTGTGTGTATATTCAATTTTTCTTTACGTGTGAATGTTTTACCGCAAATTAAGCAGGCAAAATGTTTCTCTCTCGCATGTATACTTGTGCATGCTGTTAAACATGCCTTTTCTGTGAAGCTTTCACCGCTAACTGAAAAAGACAAAGGGCTTTCTACAGTGTGTGTTCTTTCATGTATATTCAATTTTTCCTTACGCGTGAAACTTTTCCCGCAAAATGAACAGGCAAACGTTTTCTGCCCAGTGTGCGTTCCCATGTGTTGAACCAATGTTGAACGGACACTGAAACTTATGCTGCAAACTGAGCAGGCAAAGGGTTTTTCTCCAGTGTGTGTTCGTGTGTGCGCTGCTAAATGAGTCTTTCTCGAGAAGCTTTTACCACAAACTGAGCAGGCAAAAGGTTTCTCTCCTGTGTGTGTTCTTGTGTGGGCTGCTAAATTTGTCTTTGAGCAGAATCTTTTATCACAAACTGAGCAAGCAAAAGGCTTCTCTCCAGCATGTATTCTTGTATGCGTTGTTAAATTTGTCTTTGCATAGAATGTTTTTCCACAAACTAAGCAAGCAAAAGGTTTTTCTCCAGCATGTGATTTTGTGTGTGTTGTTAAATTTGTCTTTTGAGTGAATCTAAGACCACATACTGAGCAGGCAAAAGGCTTCTCCCCAGTGTGTGTTCTTTTGTGAGTTGTTAAATTTGTCTTTTTAGAGAAACATTTACCACAAACCAAGCAGACAAAAGGTTTCTCCCCAGTGTGTGTTCTTTTGTGTGTTCTTAAATCTCCCTTTCTCGAGAATCTTTTATCACAAACTAAGCATGCAAAAGGCTTCTCTCCAGTGTGTGTTCTACTGTGTGCTATTACCTGTCCTTTTTGGGTGAATTTTTTTCCACAAACTAAGCAGGCAAAAGGTTTTTCACCTGTGTGCGTTCTTGCGTGCATTTTCAACGATGACTTGTTGAAAAATGTTTTGTCACACTGAGAACATTTCACACGTTTGTTGTCAGTGCGACATGCCATATCACCAAGAGAGTGTTGTTCATCATCATCATCGGTATCAGAAGAGTGTGATGTTATGTTGTCACTATCTGAGACTGGAGCCAAGAAGCTCTCGAATTGGGATCCCTCACAGTGGTTATCATTACCTTCTTCACTCTTTACAATGTCATCGGTCAACAAAAACTTGGTGATATCATCCTCTTGCTCTTCTTCTTTAATGTGTGGGGACTTTGGCTCCTCTTCCACTTTAATGTGGAAAAAGGGCTCCAGTCGCTCTTCCTCTTTCATGGGGTTGGGCTCCTTCAGCTGCCTCTCCATTCTTGAGCACCACTTCTGCTGCTCAGGCTGATGATCTTCACTGATGTTTGCAGGAAACAAGAAGACAAACACACATGGTTTAGTAAAGTCGAGCAGACAACTACTGGCAACCCTGGTTAAGAAGTGTTTTTTAGCCGCTAATTATTTTAGTTCTTTTAGTTTTTTTCCCTAGACAACAGGACCATTTTTAAAAGAGGAAAATTAAACCTTTAATTCAATTTAATTTATTCAATTTAAAAAAATTCCCATACGAATGAATAATTATTTTTACATCAAATCAAGTGTGCCACAATTACTGTTTACCACCCTTGGTGTTATTACTTTGTACAACCCCTTTCCTCCAACAAAATAGCAACAAATCTTCTCCTATAATATTTCACAAGTTGGGAGAAGACAGAAAGAGGGATCGTTGACAATTCTCTTAGCACTATCTCTGAACTACCAACCAAATGATGCTAATTCTTGGATACTAATTGAGATGAAGGGCGACCAGTGTGAGACGCACTTCTGAAATAACAAAAAAAAAAAAAAAAAAAAACGAGGACAGATTCAGAATCAACACCAGAAAAAATGCAGCATCGGGGGATAATGCAGAGTGGAATGTAGAGAAAACACCACTGACAGGGGGGGTCTGGAAATTTCAGTTCATGCTGACCCACAATTACCTCTTTCTGATCAAAACCGTGTTCAATGTTGGTGACACCCCATCAGATCCCCAACGTATAGACTAGTGGGTATTAATGTTACAACAGATGTAATGCCGTAGTTTGGATCATTTTGAGAGGAATAAGTATACTAACCTAGCCGTGTAACACAAGTTGAGGCTGCTTGAAAGACAGCGACCAGTTGCCGATGATGAAAAAAAAAACGTCCTCCCCGTACGCTTCTTTTACATCTTTTTCACACTAAAATCACAACACTTTATACTCACACTTGATCCCTGCTTAGCTATTCATTGATAACAAACGCATTTCTTGGTTATCTGAGCAAAACTCAGCTCAGCTAAGCTAGGTCGAGAAACTGTAACGTGCTATGAGACGAATTTACACGATCACGAAGATTTTAGTTATTAATGTTTTAATGCAATAAAGTCGTGACAGGCGAACTGCGTCGAGGCTAAAAGACATTCAGTACCAATTCGGGAATCATTACTTAGGGTACTTCGTGTGATTAAGTGGGAAAAAAAAAAACGTCATCAATCTAGCTGAAGCGGAAGTACGACTACGGCAAACACACTTGGTCAAACTTCGTGGATTGTATTATTGCATTGTGTGTGAATGTATTGTCGTAATGTTGTTACAGCCTAATAGAGTTCAACCCCATACATTAGGCTTGTAACTTCGGCAACCCCACTTGGTCAAACCTCGAGTATTGTATTATTACATTGTCTGTGAATGTATTGTCGTTAATGTTGTTACAGCCTAAATGATTTCAACCCCCATACATTAGGCTTGTAAATTTGGGGAGACAAGCATTGTATTCTTTCCTGGCTTGATTTGTAAGTTTCTTCTGTCACCTCGTGTCTAAAACGGTGATTGATTGCAACAAAAATTCAAATTTCACAATCCTCTTGTTCAATTCAACCTGTGTAAAATAAAAACGATCTGCTCGATAATTTGGATTCATAGAGGTCAAATGTGAATATGAGCTGCTGTGAGGAAACGTCACTCTCCCCTCCACAAAATCAAGCGGACAATAGTAGGAATACGTATATCAATTTTGGTGGGGATTGGTTGTAGTTTTGGACATTTAGTGAAGCCAAATTTTTGTTACGGCAGAGAAGCAGGCAGCCATGGCTGTTAGCTTCCACTAGCTCTCGTGGCTTGTTGAGACAGAATTAACTTTCCACAGAAGCTCCATGCTCGCCACTGGCCACGTTCACCACCACCAGTCAGGCAGCCAGAAGCACCAGCAGGTGCGACTGAGGAGGTCACGTCCTAGGCACCGTCTCTGGTCATCCCTGTCACGGTCGCACATCATCTATGCAACCGTAGCAGGGTGAACACTTTATATTGTATCCACCCAGAGATGCAGCGGTGTTGTAGTGCGAGTTGGCTGAGTCAATTTCAGATAAACCGCTGCGATGAAAACAGAGAGGCGTGACAGAAACTGCACCTAAGCTGAATACAGTATAGGCTTGATAGGTTGAAGTGGGCCTAAGTAGAGATGTCCACGGGGCCGTTTGACCCAGCGATTTAGAAAATATTGTCGATATATTTACAATGATTTTGAATGGACAAATAGTCTGTGGTTCCTCCCGTGACTTCCACCACAAATAGTCTGTGGTTCCTCCCGTGACTTCCACCACATGGAGGGAGGGGGTTGGTCCATTTTGCTTATTCCCTGGGTTGGTTTTAAAGTCGGGCGGCCTGGTGGTCCAGTGGTTAGCGCATCGACCTCACAGTGCAGAGGTACTGGACTCGATTCCAGCTCCGGCCTTCCTGTGTGGACTTTGCATGTTGTTCCTGTGCCTACGTGGGTTTTCTCCTGGTACTCCGGTTTCCTCCTACATTCTAAAAACATGCATGGCAGGTTAATGGAACACTCTAAATTGTCCCTTAGTGTGATTGTGAGCGCGGATGATTGTTCCTCTCTGTGTGCCTTGCGATTGGCTCGCAACCGGTTCAGAGTGTCCCCCGCCTACTGCCCAAAGACAGCTGGGCTAGACTCCAGCATGCCCCATGACCCTTGTAAGGATAAGCGGATCAGAAAATGGATGGATGGTTTTAAAGTCGCAATTTTTGTTGTGCTTTCTCCAAAACAAATTGATATAATTGAAAATGCAAGTTATTATAATTGGCCTGATTTAAAAAAAATACATGAATTGAACCTGTTAGTGAAAAATTGACCATCCTGGCCGGTTGAGTAAGGTTAAGAAACACAAAATGACTGCATTGACATTTCCCAAACGGCTACAACTGGAATCGGAAATCAGTAAATATGGAATCCAGTTGAACCGTAGCACGCATTCAAAACTAGCTATTTACAGAAACATTACGTTTCCCGGCAACTAAGTAGCGCAACGCAGCCGGTCATTTAGAACCTCCTTCCTTCCAGCCCCTTTCCTCCCTCACTGAAGAGAGCCTTCCTCTGTCTTCCTCACGCCCCAAAGTCGCTCTTCGGTTCAGGTACGGTGCACACATCCAGCAAAATGTCATTAAGCACTTGACTAAGCTTAACTGTAGTACCCCAGCAGAAAACGCTCAGTGTACTAAGTTGGAAACGACACTGGCTGTGCACGTTCAAAAAAATCAATATATAAACACCAACTTTCCAGCGGTCGAAATGGTCCAAGCCACAGTTTTTTCGTCGTTCCCTCCAAGTTTTGAATATTGTTTGATAAGCCCAAAAAAGTACCTTTATCCATAATGCGACCTGAGATCTGCAAGTCGCTTTTTGGGGTGGCGCTATCTTGACTCCACCGTTACGAGCGGAGATTGGCCTCACAACACCACCTCGGGCCTGGCAGGCGTCGCGATTAGCTGGACATAAATCACCGTAAAAGATGGATAACCAGATCCAGGTATTTTTTTTAAAAATCCCCCTTTACGACAGTCCTCTTGCATGTGCGTCTTTTGCGTGCCGTTGCCTCAACGCGTAATTGTACTTAATTAGTTGGCCAGCATTCGCAAATGAACGAGTACGGCGTCGTTTAGGCCTATTTACGAAAACACTACGCTTGCTACTCATTTGTGAAGTGTCTTGCAAGGATGATATGCTTCCGTAGAGTTTAATATTTACAAACTTTCGGTGTTTTTCCCATTTACCAAACTCCGGCGCGTTTGTGGCGCACTATTTAATTGCATACTGTGCTATTGTCGGCTCTCTCAGAGTTGATTCAACACTTTAGTATTTACAACGTGACTAATTACTAAATTGAATGCCCCGCAATTAGTGTTAAACGATGGTGAGCTAATTTAAACAAATTAAGGTGTTAGCTTCATCCTTAATACGCGTTTTAGTGGCTAATATAAGAACAGAAGCGATTTTTGTTGCATTTTGTTACTTTTGTTGTTGTTGTTGTTTTGCATGTTGTTACTTTTTTTAACTGAACACAATTTGAACCAACTGGGGCACATAGATACGACTGTAGTTAGAAACATATCAAATGTTTTGGACCAATAAAAAGCTACATTTCGCGGCGTGGTTGCTGCTCTTTACAATTTCTAATCTGCAGATAGTGCAAACATTTGCAGACTTGATATATTTTATAATAACTTAAAATTAGTTGCAGTGGTGTAGTACTAATTGTTTTTGTTGTTGTTTTTGCAATATTATAATACCAGCAACTAGTAATTGTGAGCACTATACAGGTGATATGAAATTCCCTAACTCAACAAATAATTTTTTTCCTGCCAGTTGAAAGGAATATCCAACCAAATATGGTGAGCTCTTTCATAATTGCATAAGATAATGGCCAAATCCGAATGCCAAATCAACAAAACGCTATGCCAAATCAACAAAACACTTTATCTGGAGAAAGAAATGGAAGATTTCGGACCAGATAAGTCCATCTCCAAACCAAAGCTCTCAAAAGCAAGCGTCCCCAATAGACACAACTAGATTCTGATGGTATGATAACTGTGACTAAAAATATTGTGGTATCACAGTATTAAAATTAACGCTTTTAAACAGGGGTGTCCATTGCATCATTTGTAATGTACCGGTAAAGGGTTTTCAGTCTATCGCGTGGCATTAACTCAATCAATGAAGTTCTAGGCTGTTGATGTAGCTGATCACAATACAGGCACCCAGTTGGCTGCATAACACACACGGGGCGATGTGACACACCAGAGGAAGTTCAATGATGATTGTGTGACTGGCGCACGAGACATTAGTTTCTTCAGCGGTGTCAACTCAAGCCAATTGGGTACACTAGGAGCAATATGAATTTTCCCATGACAAAAATTGAGAGAAATGATGTGAATTGAAGGACACGTTGATTATATATTTGTTTGTTTATTTATTTCATTGGCACAGTGCACATTAATCAACACAAGAATAAACAGTGTAAATGCGCCGGACTTAGCATAAATGCTAGTTTTCAGCGGTAGTCCCAAGCTTGGTTTCTTAACATAAACATAACATCAACAGTTACCATAAACTTTATGGCATAAAGTAACAAAATAATTTAACACAACACATAACATAAAACCTGGACAGTCATGCAAACTTAGCCACTTTTCCTGCATACGCTTTGTTGTTTGAAGCGGTTGTAGAGAATCAAAGTGTCCTTTCACCAGTGGATCAGAGACGTCACGCTCAAAATGTGCACACGTCTGCCACAAACTAAGTTTGTAAGTAAACAAGAAGCTGTAGCATCCATTGACGATGGCCATTCGAGGCTGACATTATGAGCAGGAGGACCTCGGAGTTGGGCTCCTCCTGTGGACAGATGTCTCAGTGATAGTGGGGACAGTGACGAGGAATACACTTTTAAACCAGGTGAAAATAATTATTTTCTAAAGTTTCAGCTTGTTTGTGACATTTATGGATGGAACTGTGTGGACATGTTGAATAGATAAAAATCTCTGCTCTTTTCCAAAGTCATTACATTTTTCGACGTCTTCATTCGCATGTATAAGGGCCAGACTGTGTAACAATGTGCAAAGTGCAACGTTCATCTGTGCCTCAACAAAAACAACTACTTTTGTGAATTCCAAAAGTGATCTGAAGTTACATGCTCTCTATCCACACTGAAAGGACAGACAAGCTGAGTGGAAGTAACAATTTTTTGTTGCAGGTTTTTGTCATTTCTCGTGTTTTGTTTCCAATGTCTGTTCTCATAATTCATAGCAGCGTTTTATAATAGCATAGCAGTTGTAAGAGTTGTAACTCCTGAGAATGACTTTGTTACATCACTAAAGGAATCTCCACACCTGAGATGGGAACAGATGTTTTTAAAAAAAAACAAAAACAAATGCCTGTTGTTGCACATTCACACCTAATGTACCTTTATATCTATTTAGTGCGTTATTCTCAAATGAACACTTTTGATTTACAAAGGAGGTTAATTTTCACTATGGAGTATCTTCTTGGTTTCTTCTTAGGTGCTGAATGTTGAGCGTTTGCAGGCACGGGAAACCTGGCTTAAAACAACCAAGACAAAGGTCACTCAAGTTAATGGCCAGCGGAAATATGGAGGACCACCTGAGGGTGAGAATGGGCTCTATACACCTGGGCTGTACGGAATTCAGAATTAAATTGGCAGTGCCCTCTAAATCCCAATTCACTTCTTGAATTTGCATTGGGGTGGCAAATTTAGCAAGCTGAGCAGTTTTTTACCCTATTTACAACATAATTTCATGCAGATATTATTGCAAGGACTTCATGTGCGCAATATTTAATTATAGTGAACTGCACCTATTTTCTCTTTCTCTTCATTGCTTTCAAAGTATGGATGGGGCCAGCCCCTGGAATAAACTGTGAGGTTTTCATCAACAACATCCCACAAGACGTCTACGAGGACTTGCTGATTCCTCTCTTCAGCTCGGTGGGGCCACTGTGGGAGTTTCGACTCATGATGAACTTCAGCGGACAAAACCGTGGATTTGCTTATGCCAAATATGGCTCTGCAGATGTGGCTAAAAATGCTATTCGCCAGCTACATGGTCACATGCTTTTGCCAGGTGCGCATTTAATTGTATGCCTTAGCACTGAGAAGAGGCACGTCTACCTCACAAATTTACCAGCCACCTTCAAGCAAGATGAGCTACTGAAGGTACTGCAGTTGTCTTAACCCCCTTTGTATGATAATATGTACTGTGCATGGCTGTGTTGTTGGCACTGGTAGACTAGTGGGCCATACCTTTTGTGCGTTTGAGTCTCAGCCATTGTCCCAATGCTAGCAACTTCCGGTCTCCAATCTGCAAAATAAATACATTTAAAAAAATAGGTGACTTGCGTCAGGAAGGGCATTCTGCATAAAAACTGTGTCAAACAAATCATGTGAGTTACTTTCTATGGCACATTCAGATCATTTTATGTAGCCAATGAAACCAAATCATGTGTGTCAACTTCCACGATCCTGACTAAAATGTGTACTAAAATTTCAAATTCATGTAGTAATAATGTTGCAATATTGCAGTTGAACGACTTGAAGAACTTGTGTCCTTAACTTCTGATTTCAAAACTAGTTCTCCATCAATTTGTTGTGATGAGACCATGAGACATGCATATGGTTTCACACTCCTAACAGCCCTCTGTGGGAAACTGTAACTACAATGCGGCCTGAAACAAAAATGACTTTGACACCACTTTTTGATAGTGACCCCGACGTGGACAAGCCAATAGGCGCAACAAGATAGTTGGATTGTAGGTCTTCAGTTTACAATATGTAAATACAGATGAAAAAAAGCACTTAAAGTCCCTGTAAAGTGAAAATAAAAATGGAATTTTGAATTGATGCACCAGTTAAAAGACTAATGTTAAAAACACACCAAAATCCAAGTGATTGAAAACGTGGCCAAGTCTATAAAATGTGGCTTCAAAATTGTGAAAAATCACGCCGCGCTAATATTGTGGGCATGTCCGTTGAGTGTGCTGAAACCACTCCAAAATCAACTGTCAATAAAATACCACAAATGGAATGCCGAAATGTCCTTACGTGTTTCAGCCACAAAATTGTATCTACTTGAACACTAAAGAGTCTGGGGTTTTCTTTCCCCTACAACAAAATCCAATCACAATCCATCGGTGTGATTGTGTGCCCTGCGATTGGCTGGCAACCAGTTCAGGGTTTACCCCGCCTACTGTCCGAAATCAGCTAGGCTCGGCTCCAGCACGTCCGCGGCCATCGTGAGGATATATCAGTTCAGATGGATGTACTGTATAATCTTTTCTACAATTTTTCTGACGACCAGGTACTTCACGAAATGGTAGAAGGGGTTGAGAGCCTTTCTCTGAAATCTGGACCTGAAATAGAGGGTGTGTCAGCCATAGTCGTCTTCTCATCTCACTATGCGGCTTCTATGGCAAAGAGGGTACTAATGGAAGGTGAGTGAACTTTTGCAGCTGCAGGAGATGGACATCTAGTTGTGGTCAGAAGTTAACATGGGCTCAACAACTTTTCGCGATAGAAGCGCCATTTGAGCACATTTTCATTAAATTCGAACTCGGAACACACGTCTATGAGCGCAATGGTGTATTAATTTGTGAAATCAAGAACCTACAAACAAACGACGGGCTAATTTCCGGGTTTAACAGAGCAAAACATCCAATTCTTCTGCACTCTGAAGGAAAAAACACCACATTATTTTCAACTAAAATATTTGAGGTAGGCCTAAGTCTTTCCCTCACTGTATTTTTTCAAAGAAATGTGGCTTTGTTTTTTTTTTTTTGTATTTGTAATTGTAACGTCATGCAGCTGAAGCATAACCACTTTCATTAAGTGTAGGGTAAATCAGAAATACTACTTTTAATTTTTTTTTTTTTCGATTTCTGTTCCACCAATTCCTCATGTGGCCTGCAGTAGACCTGAATATGAAACATAACTGTATCAGGTGCAATATAAAAATGTGCATCTATTGTCTTAGTAATAGTTATTTCTACAAAATAATAATATGGTTTCAGATTCAGTGCAAATCGTATCCACATCAAGATTTTTATGGTGAGACTGATATTCCTGCAGGTTTGCAAGCTCTCACGAGGCATGAATGGTGTTCATTTTTGATGTTGCTCACGATGGAAAAACCCACTCGTCTGTGGATGCAAAAATTGACAGGACTCCAAATGCCGATCCATGTATTCAACTCAAGTTTGTCCAGTTCAACATGGTATTTAGTGTCACTATTCGGAGCAAGCATGGCGCTTCTCACATGCACCTTCGTCAAGACACATTGTCAAGCTTCTGGCCTGAGACACTCTTCGTCAGCCAGGCGTCAACCACTTCCAGCTCAAGATAGGTCTGACATAATGCTGCTGCTGTCGTCAAAATCAATAGCGATGGAACGACATTCAGAAAAGTGATTGGGAAGCTTGATGTTTTATTTTTCCTCCATAAACTCAGAATCTTTGCTGAAATGCAGTTTGCTTTGCGATAATGGCACCCTAAACCAAACAATTTAAATGAACCCAACTAGTTCTGCCTGCAAGAATGGTCAAAAATGCAGCCAACATTATGCCAGAAGCTTGTTGATGGACAATGCAAAGGCATCGAATTGTAACTAACAGTGTCTTTTTCATAGGACCTCCCTCCCTCTGCCCTCTTCCTCCTCCTCCACAGTGCTTGGTGAGAAGGAGGGGAAAATAAGTTAATTTAAGGCAATTAACTTCAGACACCAACTTAACTCTGCAAACAGCCAATCATATTGTGCCCTACTTAGAAGTCCCCTCAAAAAAAAGAAAAGAAGAGCTCATTACTGCTGATAGACAGCTTTGGTGTTCATTGAACACTTATTCAAATCGTCAAACCAGTTAGCCCACCAGGCCTTCTCTTGGAGTTGTTCACCAAGTGGTGAACCTCACCCATCCTTGCTTGTGAAGAGCCGAGCCTTTTGGGGATTCTCCTTTTATATCCTGTCATAAGGCTCAGCTGTGTCAACTTTCCCAGTTGTATCTTGCCCCTGTCCCAGTTTTTTGAGGAACGTGTTCCAGGTATAAAATTCAAAATGAGATGAAGCAGTTCAGATAATGAATGGATGGAATATTATGGAAAATACAATTTGTGGTTGTCTACTTTAATGCCGTGAATCTACAATTTTATCAACCAGTTAGCAATATCGGAATCATCGTCTCTTTTCTCCCACTGACAGCAACGCTGATAATGAAATAATTTAACCAGTTTATTTTATCTTCTATTCATGCTTTGTTAAATCTAACATACTAATGTGCATATTTTTGTCACTAGGATTCCTGAGGCGCTTTGGCATACGCATCTCAGTCCAGTGGCAGTACCCAATAAAGGTGAAAGATGAGTTGCACCTTCCTCAGAAATATAAATCCTTGAAGGCTTCAACCCCGAAGCTTCCATCCAACATGGCGAACGTCTCAAAGATTTTAGCCCAGCCTCCTCCTACTCCACAAAACCCTTCATTGATTCCCGCTGATTTCTGCAGAGCTGTGGGAGGACCCGTTGCCCCTAAGTCAACCTCTCATGAGCATCTGTCTCCAGCATTGTCAGCCTCTCCAGTGACTTTCCTTCAAAAGTGTTGTGAAATGAGTGGAATTGGTCTGCCACAATTTGAGTTTTTCTGCAGCGGTGATGGACCTGATGAATTCCTCCACTTAACCTTTATGGTGAGTATCCTTGGCCTGGGAGTCTTCCCAGGGGAAGTTAGAATATTGCCGGGACCCACTGCCACAACCACAATCGAGAGAGCTCGAGAGGCTGCAGCTCAGCAGCTTCTGAAGTCTGTGATTGGTCTGAAGGTCTTCCTTCGCTGAATCTGTTTGGAGCCTATCCTGCCCTTGTTCTCGTTTGTTCATGCTGTGTGCTTTTCTTAAAAGAGGTATGTAATGTTGATTGTGGTTTGTTACCCTGTGCATGTTTATGATTATTAGTATTTCCGAGTTGTAGTGGAATAATTTCACTTGGTTGAACTTGTTTTATACTTGCACGTGTTTTATTGCTTGACTTGTTTCTGTATAAATGTGAAAAGAAAATGGATTGGTGGCATCTTTGTTAAAACATACATGCAAATCATTCTTCCCGAATTAGTAATATACGCACTGACACAGTATCTCAATGAAGAAAAGCGTAATTAATACCTCTTTGTGTCTGTATAAACCACTCTTGGAACAGCGGTGTTCGAACTCGGGCATCAAGGGCCGATGTCCTGGCTGTTTTCCGTCTCTCCCTGTCACAACACACCTGATTCAAATGATTAGGATCATTAACCTGCTTCTTCAGAGCTTGTTGATGAGCTGATCCTTTGAATTAGCAGGGAGAGATGGAAAACAGGCAGCACATCAGCCCTTGAGGTCCAAGTGTGGACACCCCTCACTTTGAGGCTTCTCCAGTTGCTTAGCTTAGCTGACTAGACACGAACAAAGACTCGTTTATTATAAACAAATTGCAAACTCAACTGTATTTATAGAGCACTTTAAAACAACCACCCTGTATACAAAGTGCTGCACATGGAGCAAATAT